CTATCCTTAGCAAGATACAGACTTAGATTGCAAAATATCTCAGAACAGATACAGAATATCATCTTACATGTTTGAGTGCATGCAAAGTAAATCCATGAAGCACTGTCCCATTCATGTTTTCTTCTTTACATTGCTACATACTGGTCTGGCATAGCAGCACCATTTCAGATCTTTTTTCTTATGATTGAAAGGAAATTTTCAGAAAGTATAAGTTTCAAAAAAACTGGAAGGATACCTGTTAGGTTTATTCAATGATGATTATAAAATTTATGTATGTACATATAAACATTGAAGCAAAGAGATGCTTCACTCTGTCTTATAATTCAGTCAAGAGACCACTCTGCCTTGTGATTCGGTCACTAGAGCATCCTGTCTTATGAACTGATCAACTGTCCTGTCAGAACAATACTCTGTTTTGTAACCATGTGTTATGTTCTGTTAATAAATAAGGCACTGCAAGGAGGGGGGTCGGAGAGAGACAGTTGGAGTGTTGGGTTTGGCTCTTTCCCCTTCTGCAGAAGCTGTTTGAGAATCCCTTTCTATGTGAACTCAGTCCTTCTTTTACGAACCTACATTTCTGAACCTAACAATACCAAAACAAAGGGCTCTAGCTCAACGGCTCATTTGATGATTCAAACCTAAGAAAAACATTAAAGAAAGGTGTTCAAAACAGTTAAGTCTGGGGTGAAGGGTTAACTTTTACAAGACAATAATCTTGAAAACATAAGCGACATGTGCTGCGTTTTACTTATATCAGGAGTAAAAGCCAAAAATGTGACATTTTTTGACACACTCTTTTATCATGATATTGGTTTCATTACATTTGGTTTGGTTTTTAGTTTTCTAAAGTTACTAAGTCCTCTCATTACAATGATTTAAAAAAAATGCATATTCTGACTTTATTCCATGAATTTTTTTGGTAAAGACTTACATTTTTAGCACAGCATTGAACATATTCCGCATTTGTTCATAAATTAGATAGAAACATTTAGCTGCCTTTACTGGATAGCCTTGTATCAATGGTTAAGGCTGCTGGGGATTTTGCAGTCGTAAGAAAATTTTCTTTTTTTTAAGGACAGAGATCCAATTATGACTCCTTTGTACCAGCTGAGCTTCAGCCAATCACATCTCAGCCTACCTGAGTGTTGTTGCTGACCACTTGTATCTCTTTCAAACCACAGTGTACTGGTATTCATTTTCTAAAGATTTTATCAGGATATAGAACCATGTGAAAAAGCTCAAATCTTCAAATAAGACAAAAGCTTACAGATGTTTTAGAGAATACGTTGAAACTATTCTACCAAGAATTAGAACACTTTAAATGTGTGAGCCAAACCCAGAACTAGATGTACCAAATAAAAAAGTAATTGAAAAAAGTTTTCTAAAATTCCCTTGTGGTGATTTTATGTTCAATGCTCATCTGGGTTGGATGCCACATTAATGATGTCGATTTATATTCTATTCAATCCCCAGCCAGCTGGGAATTTAAATTTCTGATACTTTAAGATGTTTATTTCCCTCCCCAGTAGGGTTGTTAAATATCTTATTTAATCAGATATTATTTCTGCTGTTATACATTGTTTATGAACACAAGCCCTACTAGCTGTGCGTTAAAACAATAAATGAAAGAGTGGTTCGAGCACTAATCATGGTCAAACAGTTAATTCTACACATACATGGAATAAATTTACCACAACTTCTGTTCAACATATAAAAGTTTAGTAACAAAAATCATTCAGCTCAAAGTCAAACATATTTCAGTTTAACACTCTTAACTTAAACTAGTGCAACTAAACTAACCTGAACTACTATGTACAAACAGGAAACCAAAGTTTGTCTGGAAGAATTTGTGAAATGATCAAATTAGCTTTTCACTAGTTTAGAGAAATTGGAATGTTTTCAGACCAGTTCACAATGCAAATCCATGAGGTGATTAAAACATTATTTGGCCAAATAATGTTTTATTAAATGATTTGCTTAATCAAGAACCAATAACCTTTAGTCAAATGATTCTTTACTCACTTTGAAAACTCATGTCAAATCTGGTCTTGAGGAATGCGTAAACATCTTTTTGACCCACAAAGACAAAAATCATGTCATTTTGCTCGTTTCGAGAAAAAAATGGTTGATATTTTGGCTAAAACGGACACAGCCATGTTTGTTTTAATTCATCCTTCTGATTCTACTTGACGTTTTGACGTCATATACATCAGCATTATATTGGTCTGAAACACCTCTGTATTCGAGGCTAATGTATCAACGGCCTTCTGGCAAGATATTTTCGGGAGTTTGTGAATTCACAAATCTCATCTAGCTTGCAGGGTAAGTTTAATCATAGAGTTGTTAAAAAAAGAAATGCACTTCTCAATATTTACTTAAATGTTATGTGTTATTCCTATAATTTGCTGGGGTTTTTTTTGTTGTTTTTAAGTCTTTACTGATTGAGCCAAATGAAAGCAGAGGAAAGTCATTTGGTTGATTCATCTCACTTTCTCTGATTCTCTCAGTTAGTTGCAAAACATTAATAGTAAGCAGTTTGGTAGTGGTGACCACAAAAGTTTATCCAGCAGCGCTGGAAAGGAAAAACACATTAATTTAATCCATATTTATTGTGGTGTTCGGTCTACACATTTGAAATGGCTTTTTTAGCGATGTCAGACAAAGTAATGAAAAATGGAAGCAGGTCACAGATGCTGGTTATTTTGGCTTCCCTTCTTGATTTGCCACTTGAGCCAAACATTAAAGGAATATTTGTACAGTGGTTTCATAAGTCATCCAGTTAAAGTGAAAACCATCAAAGAAATTAGACGTGAAGCACAGAATATTTTTATACATCAAAAGATCTCAGAGACATACAGGCCGCAAACATTTTCATATTAGCTATTAGTCAGAGGTTTGAAAAAAAATCATTAACTGTGAACACGTAGCTCGATTTCAGTTCTGAATTTTGTATTCATACTAAGTATTTTGGGGGAAAAGAAACTTGACTTTAAGATAAAATTTCTATCCAAAACGTTTCTTTGAAAGCTTGAATTAATCTCTTTAAATATTAAACCATATTATGACATTCATGGATGAGGGTTAAATTACAAAGCAGAACAAACATAAATTGAAATATTTGAAAAATAAACATAACACCAAAGTACCCATGTGGAACAATCAAACTATAATAACCTGTTATGGTTTTAGAAAGGTAGCTTGCAGGCCTGTTAACATGAAAACAGTCACAAAAGGAAATAAATCTTGCTAAGAGCCAGAACAGTTTTCTTTTGAACAAAAAAGGAAGAAAAAAAAAAGAAAAAATTTGTTTATTCTCCAGAAAATTGTATTTTAAGAAATTTCAGTTTTTAAAAGAATAACTGGTGTCTCAATCACTTAAATTACATTTAAACCCCTTTTTTTTATATAGAAAAAGGAGGAGCGTAAGTGTCTTTGAACATTCCTCTGCACAGATTCTTTAGATGAGGGGTTTCCCAAAGTGGAGGATCACAGGATGGATTTGACAATCGTTATGTAATCCACGATGCATATGGAGGTCACCTTGCAAGCAAGATGAAAATATATATTGCCTGAAGCCAGTAGATTCAGATATGTTTTGAACCAATAAAGGCATTGGAGTGTATGAAATCAACCACATACGGCAGGATGAAGCAAAGTAAAATGGCTGAGCCAGCAGACGTACCTGTAGACTCCATCATTCAGTCTGTTTTAGGTGGAATACATTGTCTCTGCCATAACTCCCCCACCTTCTGGCTCCTCCTGGCATAGCCGCCGTGCTCGTCGGTGCAACAGGTCTGTTACTCTCCAGCCCGATGCCCAGTCAAGCATCACTGCAGCGCTTCCGCCTGCTGGGGCGTCACCTCCGTCTTCCTAGAGAGGCGGACTGGCAACGTCGTGGTAGCTCCAGGGACTCATGGCGGAGGATTGTCGCTTCCCCGTCGCCTTGGACCTTCTAGAAACACATCTGTACCCCTGGGTGTGGGCCCGGGTTAAAGATCGGAGGGTTACTATCCCACTGGTCCGGGCTCCGCACATCGAGGACACAGCTGGTGGGATTTCTTTTATGGTGACCGGGAAGACCTCCTTCCCTGCTGGTGAAATGCTGCTTGGCCGCCCCAGGCCTCATCAAAGGGTCCTGCCACATTGTCGCTGTTGCCGTCGCCAAAAGCCCTGCTCTGCCGGCTGTCACCGAAAGGCTCCAACTCTTCCAACTCTAGCCTGGTACAGCCTCTGGTTACCTTCATCCATAACTCATAACCTTCAATAAACTCTCAAGACTAGCTCCGTGTCTGTGTGTGCATTCTGGGTTCATCTTGAAAAATTATGACAGTTACTACCTCGCTCTGATATGAGGTTTGCCTACTTTAAGTATTGTCAAGTTATTGTTATCTTTTCAGCTCTTGATCATCGTGACAATGGCATGCTTCAAACAAAGATGCTGGGACAACTCATTCTCACTTTACCTGATTTTGTTATTCTCTTATAAGGTGAGCAGGTTTAAAAACATTAATAAGCAAATGATTTAAATTCAACATCAAAAGTAAAATCAATAGATACATTTAGAAAAGATACATTTTAATTTGCTTTAACATGAATTATATTCAAATTGACATTTTCTCGTAGCATGTAGATATTAAAATGACTTAAACAATCATACAGTGAACAATTTTAACTAAAATGGATGATCAATGGATTGACTGATTGATCAATCCTCTCAAACATATAACTGTGACAAGTTGAACAACACAAAAAGGGGGAATTTATTCCAACCAAAGAGAATTTAAAAAGTTTATATTTGTCTTATTTTGTTCTTCTTCCCAACCTTCCTGGTCGAAATGTAATCAGAATGACACCTCTACAGGGTCAAAGAAGACATGACAAATTTTGTTCTATTGTTTCAGGCTTCAAATTAAAATATATAACTGTACTGATAAGGTTATTTTTCCTTTTGATGCACTACTGTGAAATTAAATAATAATAAAAAGAAATATTGTGTTTTTTATATATCTATACAGTGCTGCATTTATAGCAAAACTGATTAACATTTTTACACTGATATATTATTTTCTAAGTCCCTGTGATGGTAATCTAATTCTTTATGAGACAACTGAGGTGTCTGTCCCCCCTCCTCTATTGTCTCTGGGCGGAAACTACACTTTCAATTTTTATGCCACCAACCCATTGAGTTTTCCACCTCAGTTCTTGTTCTCATGGTAAAATGAGCAGCTTTACAGAAGCCCAATGGAAGGCCATTGGCATCAATAGCAACACAACCCTCACTGCGCATTTCTTCCCTGCTGGTTTAATAGTAATAAAAAAGCATTGACAACCATTTTCATGTTCTATTGCCTGATCTTTTGCCAGAATTCACCTGGAGAGCAAAAGCAGGTTAAGGGGTCCACTACCTCATTTAGTCTGCTAGTTTCAGTTTCACCTTAACATGGCGGACAGGGGTTTTACAGAGCAAGTCGTGGTGCTTTATTTTTGTTGGAAAACAAAACATAGGATTCCCTGGGTCCAGAGATGATTCTAACTTTGGAGCTACATAAGCTACGGCTGATGAGAGGCTGCTTTCCCTGGAGCTTTAAGTAAGGTGAGACGGTGTTCTGAAGCTCGGGCAGGCACAGCAAGGAAAGCAGAACTAGAACCCCTGCAAAGAGAGAGCACCCAGTATCCAGGATGTTTTGGCCAGCTCTGCTGCCCCCTGGAGCTAAGGAAACACAGCGGGAGATTGCCTGGGACTAGCTCTGGAGCTAAGGAAACACAGCGGTGGATTGGCTGGGGCAAGTTTTATAGCTAAGGAAATGGTGCACCTTCACCTTATGTCACAGCCACATCTAGTCCCCGTTTTCCAGTTGCAAAACAAAAACATTTTTTTGCCGTTCGCCTCACTAGAATTGTGACCTACTGTAGCTCTGCCTTGCAGCAATCCTGAGCTGCCTCCACATAGAGATAACATTCAAACTATTTACTCTAGCAACAAAATTCTTGGTCGGCGTGAAGTCAGTGGTTTTACATCCAAAAACACGAACAATGAGTCAATGGAAACTTTTTTACCAAAAGCCACCGATTTGTTACATTCATCAGACAAATACGCTGCAGATATTGCATAAAGGGGATCCTGCTTTGTGTGTCACACATTTTTGGTCACGTATAAATGCTGTTTCTCTGCGACTCTTTGGCCAGACTCTGCAACATAGACTTCTGAAAGGCCACATCGCATGACTCGGGGATCAGAAACTCCAGCAGCACGTCACAGATACTGTAGATCAAATGCCTGCAGACAGCAACACAAACAACCAGATACACACATTAACTTAAAGGAAAAACAGAACTTCATTTTCATATTTTACAAGGCTCCTTGGTGTTTACCAGTAAACTAATAACGAATAGACTCAAATTGCTTTGCCCAAACAGAGTTGACTAACTTGTTTATCTGATGGTCCTGTAGAGACTCAAGCATGGTCTCCAAGCTCAGCCTGTACTTCTCGCTTCCCAACATATCAGCTATTAGCTCTGTGCAACATAAAAGAAGAACAAAATACACTTAAGGTAGGCAATCAAATCAATAAAACCCCAAAAGCTGCTACAGACCAGGAAGCAGCTGCATCAGGCAGTCCAGACACCTCTCCTTGGTTTCCTCTTTTTCTGCAACACTTCGCTCAGGCCGGGGTTGAGCTGGAAGGGTACCGCCAGGCCACACAGCCTCTTGCAAGACTTGAAGGTAAATTATCCAGCAGGGGGCGCTGGTTAGGTGGGCAGCACCTATATCCAGCCACCTGGGATGGGAATAGATGAAAAAGTTCTATTGTACATCAAATGTGGAGAATTTTTGCAGTCTAACAGTCAAATAGTCTGATAAAAAAAATCAGTATTACATAATTCAAATAAACAGAGACATATTTGTAGATTTTAAAACAAATTATAGAGTTTGTAAAAGTCCATAAATTAAATATTTTAAGTAAAAGATCTGTACAATTCACAGCTGTGTTTTGGAAAATGCATCTGTTTTCATTTATTCATATATGTGTGTCTGCATTGAGTAAAATAACAAATCGTATGGTTAAAAATGATAAGAAAAAACCTTTCAATGAAGGTGCCAAAGAGAAGTCTGATTGCCTTCTGGATGTTCTCAGTGCACAGCCAGCTCCAGTGATCCTTCATCAACAGGCACAATATATTCAGTGCAACATCTGCCACAGCTGTGTCTGTAGTGCACACAGATAAATTATTTTAACACCATAGTTTTACTTGTTGGAAACAAATGGTTCAGGGACTAAACCACCAACAGGATGGGTTTGATCTAAAAATTGAATTCTACTGCACCTCAGTGGTGATACTAAGTCACTGCATGTTGCTAAGGCATATGCCTCACTACAGGTAAAACAGGAGGGCCTTTGCCAACGTTTTTATTGTCCATTCTTCACATAATATCAAATTAGAAATTCAAAATTAAGGTCATTTTAATGTATTAAAACAGATTATTACAACCATTTTTCATATAAAATCTGACAAGGGGGAAAACAACCAACTGTTTTGGTTAATGAAGAACAATGGCGTAAATATCGCTAAGTAAAGAATGCTGTTGCTTAGGGCCCCCGACCTCTTAGGGGCCCTGTCATTGACGCCTGGTAGGCCCCCTTCGCAATTGTGGACTAGGAAGTCTGATTGCAGACATTATGGTGCAAAATTTTAAGTTAAATGACCAGACCTTATTTATACCCCAACAAATGCCAGATTTCAACATGATGGTGAGCTGGTTAAACACGACACCAATAGCAAAGCAGACAGTGGTACTTTTATTACTATGTTAATAACTGTGTATAAATCATTAGATGGTTGGTAAAAAATATGCTCATATAAAATGTTTCAAACTCCAATAAAGACCTTAAAAGAATGATGTATTTGAGTATTTTATTTTCTACACTACGACTTGGAATTATGGGTAATCCAGAGTGTTTTACTTCATATGGGGCCCACCCAGATAAAGTTGCTTATTGGCCTATTGTTGTTGTATCGTTACGCCATTGATGAAGAATGTTTACAAGTTGTAAAAAATATTAAGTATCTCAGGGTAGTCTTTGATTCTTATTTATCTTTTAGACACTATGTAATGAAAATACCTGACATCATCAAATTAAGCTTATCAAATATGAAACACAGAAGGTCATATCTAACTGCAGATGTGGCAATAACTTAAATGTACTCAGTCTGCACTTAAACCATTTTACAACCTGGTGCCAGATAACTGAGAGAGCTATGAAGCTACTAAAGTTTTAGACAGCAAGCCTTTAAACTATCATTACTGTAACATTTTAAGAAAATACATATTTTTTAGATTTTGAAAGTTATCAGATGTTCCTGAATGCTTGTCTTATTTTCGAAGTACTACATTTGCTTGGCGCTCTTCCTTGAATAGTTTTGATAATTAAAAAAATAATAATTCTGGAATAATTAACAGAACATCAGCAAGAGGTGATTGTAATGTTTTAAAACATAGGAATAAATTCAGCCAAATGCTGGTGTCTGTCAGAGGGACACATCTATGGCGCTGCTGGAGCATATCTAAAACTGTGGACACTGCTCAATTGTCAAACAAGTCCTGAAAATTTGGTTGAAAACTAATTAGTCATGCTACCATAAATTATTCTAATTCTGGGCTCTTTTAACAAAAAAGTTGTTTCTTTTATTTTTAATAGTCTGTTACGATGTTTTGCGTCTGTGTTTGCTTTCCTGTAGAAAAGTCTGTGTTGTTAATGTATTGTAAAATGTTTGTACCTGCCTCATAACAAACATATTAAATTTAGCTGTGGTGCCAACTTCGGCATATTTATGTTGAAGGATTTGCAGATGCATTAATTAATGTGCACTGTCCTATTTCAAATAAAATACATTAAAAAAAAGAAAATAAAAAAAAACATGTTGCATTTCCTTATTTACAGGTATTTAATGGTATTACTCCAAAAATAAAAATCAAGCAGAACCAACTGACTTTACAGATACATAATTAAAATACTTGTTTTTCTGTTTTTTTTTGTACCATGTCTTTTTTCTTCCACACTGTTTACGTTTGATCACTGCTGCACTTTACGAAATGGAAATGTCATGAGAGCTGTGCAAAATTACATTTCAGAAATTTCAAAACTTAATTGTCTAAGTCTGGTACTTAGTAAGAAGTCATCTGGGGCTTGTTTGGGAAAATTTTGGCTTCATCTCTACAGATTTCGAATCTGACTCAGGTGTGGACTTTAACAAGGCCATTTTTCAAATGAAAATGATTTCATATAAGCCATTCTACCGTGGATCTAGCTTCCTGTTTATGGCTGCTGTCTTGTTAAAAAGCTAAACTCCATGTAGAATGGTAAAGTATTTTGCATCAAGTTTTCCTTCAGGGTTGCTCATCCTTTAAGAGGGAAACTGCAAATTCAAGAGGTTTTAAAAAAATTTTCACCCTCTGGGGTGAAAGTGAAAATGACACCATTGTTATGCAAATGCATGGAAGAAGAGGACAGCATCCTTATTTTAACAGTTTATTGTTGTTCAGAATAAGAAAGTTTCAAAATAAAGAAGTTATCTCCTAATGTAGCGGAAACTTGGCAAAGTAGCCAAAGAGGCTGTGCAGCCTGTCACAACTGTGTCCACCTCCATTCAATACGACCTGAGTCTCTGTCTCACGAACTGAGTAATGGAACCTTTAGATTCAACTGTGGTAAATAGAGGAAAATTTATTTAACAAGTAAGGGAATCTATGTGAAATGACCAGAAAAGGGATGATGCAAGGTCCATATTATTATCCCAACCTGTCCCATGACTTTTCCCTGATATCTTCTTGTCTTTGTCCTGCAGGGTGCAGCCTTGCTTGGTTGCTTCGGTCACATCTGGCCCACACAAAAGTTTCTCCTGCTGTCTGACAAAGATCTCCAAGCCAAGCAAAGACATGCCATTAAGCACCTGAACAGACACAAAAAAATTTTCATATATCAAATCTCTGGGTCTTTTATGTGTGGCTGAAACATGTAGAGAACGTTTCCAGTGTTATCTTACAGAACTGCCTTCACTGAAGCAATATGTCACTTTAGGATGGAGTTCTGGTATATTGAGCGATGTAGACATTTTACTTGGGAAAAGTTTCCTGGAGCACAAAATAAAGGAAATGTAAATATATCTTTAATCAAAAATAAATAATTACGTCACAGTATATTGAACAGACTGAGTTGTCACCTGTACTTCCTGTAGTCCATTGTTCTTCCATCAGCATCACCCTCAATGTCCTCGGTTGGACTAAGAAGCTCAGGATGAGGGAAAGCTGTCCTCAGAGTATCCAAAGCATTTTCCATCATCTTTGAGATGAAGATTGGAGATAATATACAATAAATCAACACACAAACACTTTAAATCTGATTACTTTAGTGTGGTTTGGCTACCTTATCAATTCTTGACTTTGTTAATGGCTTTCTTCCAAAATACACACAAACATCTGAGTTAATAGCCAGGAACTCCTGCATGTCTTCACTGTTGGCTGTCTCAGGAATGCTGCTTAATTGCTACAAGAAAAGAAAAATCCACATATCATGCTTATCCATGCATTGTAATGTCATACATCGCAAACCTACCTTTAGGAAGGCATCCAACTGGCTTTTCCTAGCTTCAACTTTCTCACTGTCCTGACTGCCAAAGGGAAGATCAGGGAATATTTTCTTTAGGCCTTTGACATCTGAAAAACATACCGTGTACAGGCAATGATCACCCTCTATTGGATGAACTAGAATAACAAATAGAGTAATTTATTATTTACTTTTAATTAGCTTTTTAAGCTCAGTCTTCTCTTCTAATCTTGCTTGGAGGTTCAGGAACTCGCTGTACCTGCGGTCAACAGTGTGGCCGACTGCCAGTGGTGTAGCAACGTCGTTCCCCCCATCAGACACCATCTCAAACTTTTAAATAAAAATGCCTTAGCTTTGGGATTGAACAGCATTGTAAAAACACACAAGAATAGAAAAATCTAAAACTTATAATTCTGCCAAAAGTGTGCATGTGTAGTAAATCAGTTTATTTAAAATACATGGATATAAAATACTCTTCACACCAATTGTTTTACGATTTTATGCATGTAAATTTAATACCATGGGGCCCCCATTATATCAGACACCTGAGTAAATACTCCCTGTCTACATTCATGTCTTGCTTTTTATATGTATGTAGCTTCTTTTCTACTCACCATGTAGATCTGCTTCTTTGCGCTGTTGCCAACTTTTGTCACTTTGAAAGTAGAACCAACCAGAGAAAGTTAACAGACTGAAATTGTTTACTTTTCATGAAATCTCCGACAGTCCTGTCTTCTGTCCTGGTTGTGGCTAGTAACACGAGCAAAGACTTTTCAGGCTAACTGCTGTTCTCTTCATGAGTTTAATTCTGACTTCATATCCAACAGCCACCTCTGTCATTATATGATGATTTTATAAACACAATGCTGAAAAACGTAAAGGGAAAAATGCCCAACAGTTGTTGTAAACTGATTTAAATTGGAAATGTCTTTGTTCATCAATAAACAGTTCAATATTTATCATAATTTTTAGTTATGTAGCTGCTACTATAAGAACACATTCACTAGTGTGTAAGATTAAGATATCTAATACTCAATGACTTTGATGAACAATTTTTAGCTCTTTAAGAGAACAACGATAGACCCTTTGCTAATATTATCAGCCACAAACAGGAAACCGGGATGGTTCAAGAGGCAGAATTTGCTAAGAAGTAGCCAATCAGAGGCAGTTTTTTGTACTCCCTTCGGCTGGTTCCCACCCAAAGAGGACTAGGTTGGCATGAGTTTGTGGAAACAGGTCCTTGCACATATAGAGGAGAGGTGTTACTGGCTTAATTGCTATATTTTAATTACTTTTTTTCTAGTGACTTTTTTTAAAATGAATAACAACAAATCTAATGAAAATTTTCTGTGTTCAGCTAGCAGCAAGGGCAGCTGAAAGCCCCTCCAAAGCAGTAACAGGCAAAATCAATGGCAAACTATGCATGCAGCCAACAGTGCCTGAAGTAAACAATATATATATATATATATATATATATTTAATGTGATGTGTTTTTAATTAAAAGTGATAATTATTTAATTTACACACACCGCCTTATCCACTGGAGACTTGTGGCTGTTCCTTGGCTGGTCCCCCACAATTCTTTTTTGAACAATATTCGTACTAAAATATTCTTTCTGTCATGATTTGTGAACATTAAGATCTAAAGAGAAGCGTCACCTCCTTGTCAGACCCTGTAATTCAGTGAAAGGGTGGAGTTAAAAAAAGAGTTAAAAAAAGATGCACACCCAGGAGTAGGCTAGTGGGTGGAAGTTGGAGGCGATTCAGCTTGAAGTTGCATGGAAACGGGCTGCCAATCGGCCGGTATTTGACTGATGGCCCATTTTAAATGGCTGCTACTGTATCTTTAAGTTGAATTTGATGACATAACCAAATGAATCAATGCAGTTTCAGGTAATGTATAAATTAATGCTTGAAGCTATTTATTGCAGTTTTTTTAAAGCTATTTAAAGAGCTTTTCATTGCTGTCTGTCCTGCCAATTTTATGATTTCACTCTTTTGCAGCTGTATTAGGGACTAGCGATTGTAGTACAGCCAATGGCGGCTTTTCCTGCTAAAGAGTTGGCAACAGAGGGAACATGCACATGAAAAGCAATCCATGGGTGCGAAGAACCATTATGCACATACACTATATTGCCAAAAGTATTTGCTCACCCATCCAAATTATTGGAATCAGGTGTTCCAATCACTTCCATGGCCACAGGTGTATAAATTCAAGCACCTAGGCATGCAGACTGTTTTTACAAACATTTGTGAAAGAATGGGTCGCTCTCAGGAGCTCAGTGAATTCCAGCGTGGAACTGTGATAGGATGCCACCTGTGCAACAAATCCAGTCGTGAAATTTCCTCGCTCCTAAATATTCCACAGTCAACTGTCAGCTGTATTATAAGAAAATGGAAGTGTTTGGGAACGACAGCAACTCAGCCACGAAGTGGTAGGCCACGTAAACTGACGGAGCGGGGTCAGCGGATGCTGACGCGCATAGTGCGAAGAGGTCGCCAACTTTCTGCAGAGTCAATCACTACAGACCTCCAAACTTCATGTGGCCTTCAGATTAGCTCAAGAACAGTGCGCAGAGAGCTTCATGGAATGGGTTTCCATGGTCGAGCAGCTGCATCCAAGCCATACATCACCAAGTGCAATGCAAAGCGTCGGATGCGGTGGTGTAAAGCACGCCGCCACTGGACTCTAGAGCAGTGGAGACGCGTTCTCTGGAGTGACGAATCGCGCTTCTCCATCTGGCAATCTGATGGACGGGTCTGGGTTTGGCGGTTGCCAGGAGAACGGTACTTGTCTGACTGCATTGTGCCAAGTGTAAAGTTTGGTGGAGGGGGGATTATGGTGTGGGGTTGTTTTTCAGGAGCTGGGCTTGGCCCCTTAGGTCCAGTGAAAGGAACTCTGAATGCTTCAGCATCCCAAGACATTTTGGACAATTCCATGCTCCCAACTTTGTGGGAACAGTTTGGAGCTGGCCCCTTCCTCTTCCAACATGACTGTGCACCAGTGCACAAAGCAAGGTCCATAAAGACATGGATGACAGAGTCTGGTGTGGATGAACTTGACTGGCCTGCACAGAGTCCTGACCTCAACCCGATAGAACACCTTTGGGATGAATTAGAGCGGAGACTGAGAGCCAGGCCTTCTCGTCCAACATCAGTGTGCAACCTCACAAATGCGCTTCTGGAAGAATGGTCAAAAATTCCCATAAACACACTCCTAAACCTTGTGGACAGCCTTCCCAGAAGAGTTGAAGCTGTTCTAGCTGCAAAGGGTGGACCGACGTCATATTGAACCCTATGGATTAGGAACGGGATGTCACTTAAGCTCATATGTGAGTCAAGGCAGGTGAGCAAATACTTTTGGCAATATAGTGTATGCTTGTGATATATTGGGGGCCTTATGGTTTTGAATCTGCATTCATAAAAGGTAAAAAATAAATGTGGAGAGTACTTAATGTGTATTTTTAGTAAAACTTCTCTTACACATCTGCCCTCCTTTGCAGAATTCTGACTTCACAAAGAAAGTCATGGCAGTAATAGTTAATAATATGTAATGATAAAATAGAGTCAAACAGTAGGTAAAAGCACCTTAACAGTGTAGAGTGTGTAGGGATGTATGCCTGTGCTTCGCTGGTCCTTCACATTGACTGTCCCAGAAACATGAACATTCTGAATTCTGAAAGAAGACGCAATGGGGCCACTGGAAGCGTCAAAGTTGTACGAGGTTAGGCAAAGCTTTCTTTGCGGGATGATGGGGGACTTCACCTGAGCAATGCCGGCTGGCCATTGGGAGTCTTTAGGTTCAACTACCTTTAGTCCAAGATTTTTTAGAGGTCGAAAACATCCAAATGCTTCTCCCTCACTTACAGGGAGAAGACTGCAGAGGTTGGCAGTGGGAGCACAGTCACAAACTCCTTCGGCGAGATCATCATCTGAATCTGAATGGATAAGTTGGTTCACAGAAACCATTTTGGACACTAACTGGGAATGTTGGCCTGATGTGAGTGAGCAGCAGTTCACCTTAGACGGTGTGTTTAAACCAGCTTGGTAACTGGGTGTTCGTCCTGCAGATGTCAGGCTGATGAGGCTGCTTTGAGATGAGTCCATCCCAGAGATTATGCTCTGGTACTGAGGCTCATCTATGTCATCGGAGGTTTTGCAGTGGAAACTGGTTTGTTCAGATATAGACAGGGACTTGCAGGTGGACCACGATTCCTGCTGCTCATGACATGTGTACAGTGCATTGACAGAAGATTCATCCAGAGTCATCTCCTCTGCTTCTCTGGTTCTCATAAATATGTCAACGATTGTCTGATTGAGCCAGTCGGGATCAGAAACCCGGCTTATGAGTGGTAACACCATGTTACAGGTGATGAGTTCTGTCACCATGTGAGCGCCAGTCCTGGTTTCCATCTGAGGGTATGGGACAAGAACATGTAACACAAGGTTAACCATGGCTCTGGAGTAGTTGAGCTCAGCATCGGAATTGCTCACAGCTGGATGAGGGGACTTGACTTTACTATAGAGCTGCCATAAGCCATTGCTCTCTTTTGTGGACTGGGTCTGCCTTACAGTCATGTAGCTCTGCAGGTGACAGCCGTACAGCTCTAACAGCTGCTGAATCAGAGCTTTTCTGTCCACTCGTTGTGCACGCTCCTTTAGTTCCATCACAGCCTCCAGCATCGAGTGACACACTGCACGTTCAAACTCTCCCTCCACCTCAGGGAGCAGAGTTCGATACCACGAAGAAACAAAGTCGCGTACCGCTTTGTGGACAACACAGTGGATCTCATGGTTCAGCCTCCACTCATGCTCGGGGGAACACAGAGGAGGGTTAAGCGTCCCAAGGGGCAGAAAATGTTCCAAATGTAAGAAACTGTTTGCATCCAGGGCAGCACGGGAACCGATCCAACCACCGAGAACCACCAAAAGACTCGTGAAGATACACAGCAGCCATACATTCACCAGGAGATGGAACAGGATGAGCCATGCCAGTACAGCACCGAACCCTAACAGCCTCCGCTGACCGAATAATTCGGAAACAGTCCAATGAATGGAACTCTTTGAGGAAGGCATCTCAGAAATATGGTAGAGGATGTCCTGTGGAAAACCAAGATCAATTATTTTGGAGAGGAAACCATTAGGGTTCAAATTAAAATTAAATTAAATGTATAATTATAGGGAGTTATTTTCTTTTAGTTATTGTTGCATGCAAAGAACACATGTTGTAATTGCAAATTTTTAAAAAAATGTAATCCAGACATGAAAAACAATGAGAGTTCCATCCATCCATCCATCTTCTCAGGCTTAGTCCTTCAGAGTCGGATATCTCAGGCAGTCTATGGGCGAGAGGCGGGGTACATCCTGGACAGGTCGCCAGTCTGTTCCAGGACATTGAAGATCTCTTAATCATAAATGGTTAAGAGAGATTTAATATTTTTCATGTTTTATTTTTTTATGCAGTTTGTAAAACTCAATCTGAAAAAGAATTTTGAAGGAATTAAATAAATAAGTAAATAAATAAATAAAACATGAATCATGGATCCGACCCTCTTAATCTACATGGGCGAGTTTCTGAGAAGGGCATTTCGTGCAAAGGGCTTTATATTTACCTAGAGAAATAATTGAATGTCTCCAAAATTAAGTTACTATAACACTTGAGTCCTCTGGAGCTGGGAGAAAAGACACATTTCTATTGGTCAGAATGGACCAACATTTATATTGGTCAAGGGTGAGCCTCTACGCCTGAGGTGAATTGAAGAAAAAGTTATCTTTAAAACACTATTTGCAAAGAATCCAAATTTAAAATACTCAATCTGCAAAAGGGAAGTTTAAAAAATATTTGTTTTTTTTTTATATATAAAATCAAAAAAAAAAAAAAAGCCCTGGACTTGGAATCAAATCAGCATGGAGTTTCCATGTACTCCCCCTGCATGTGTCCGTTTTCTCTGGATATGCCAGCTCCATCCTGCAGTCTGAAACCTTGACAGTTAATTGGGATCTCTAAATTGTCCCTAGGTGTGAGTGTGTGTGTTCATGGTTCTGTGTCTCTGTGTTACCTGTTGTTAAAGATTAATGTCTTTTTATTTTATTTTCTCTTTTAAATAACTATTCATTCTGTATGTCTGTTCACTTTCTGTGTAAATCAGCCAGAATGACAATCCAATAATGTAGGCTAAGATGACCTATGATGACCAGAGATGGTCTAGTAACACCTTCCCTCCTTGGATTCAGACCCGGCAATCAAAACAATGATCAAACACTGCCTTTTGCCTTAAGACTGCTGAAGACATGCATCAGCCACACTGCAACCCTGACAGATATGAAAAGCAGAAGAAGATGGATGGATCTTCGAAAAGATAAAATTAGAAAAAGGACATTTAAAAAAAATAATAATGAGAAAACATTAAAGTTCGTCTCAAAACCTTTTTTGAAGTATTTCGAAGATTCATTTCTGGATTGCATTTTCCGTGGCAAATTTCATTTAAAAATCTTGTTTTTGGTCGTTTCAAAATTCCATTTATAGAACATGTTCTTTGCAACAGTAATGAAACAAAATGCTGGCTTATGACATGTTGTGCCTCTTGAAAAAAAGGTCCATACGATCACATCATAAAACCTGGGTCTTTACTTGTTTGTCGCAATGAAATTCCCGTTATGACCTACAGGTATGCATATTTTCACAAAGCAACCTCTCACAACTTCAGAGTAACCAGCTGAATTTTATGAAATTGGAATCAAGTCAAAACATTCCTTAGGAAGTGATAGTGGTATTTAAAAAAAATGCTATATATGATATTAGTAATAACAAAGATGGTAAGTAAGTAGTTACATTTAATCCATTTTTATTTGCTTTTTGAGATGTTTGATGTGGTGATGTTACACATAATCACCTTCATAAAATTAGAATCATAAAATAATAAGTTATACATGTTGCAAAGCAGAAGAGATTTTGTAGTTAAAAAGTAGTAGCTGTGGGATGTACAATACACTAAAAACCTTATCTGTAAGAATAACTACAAAAGACAATGAAACTAAAGCAAGTATAAAGCTTAAATAATAGCAGGAGCTAAAACCATCCACATTTCATTTCATTACTTAGCCTTGAATAGTGTTTTCTGTTTAACAGACTAGCTGTTTTAGTCAGTTATTCACTCAAACCCTACGATAATAACCAACAGATTGATATTGTTCAAGCACCTGTCCCCTATACTGGTTTGTGTTTTATACACATTTGTCAAAGTTTATAATTCAACTATGGTTTTGCTGAAAGTAATTTTAGTCAATATACATATCACTTACACCTGTGGGCTTAAATAGGCAACCAAGCAACAAACTAGGTCAGAACTGATATAACTCCTCTATCCTTGCCAAATGTATACTAAAGCTAGGTAAAAGATGGAAAAGAAAATATAAATTATGACTAGAAAATATTAGATTGCAGTACCTGTTAGATTAAGGAGCATATGTTAGGTGGGAAAATGTTGTCCTTCTCCTCCTGAAGCTTCCAGAACATGTTTTAATCCTGCAGCAAAGATTATCTGGATAGAAACCTGCTGCCCATATGGACAGCTGACTGGCTTAGAGGAGCTACTGAGTCTGCATATACCTGACCACACTCACAGCAAAAAAATTTTATATATATATATATATATATATATATATATATATATATATATATATATATATATATATATATATATATATATATATATATATATATATATATATATATATATATATATATATATATATATACAGTGTTGGGAAAGTTCTCTTTCTACGTGAACTAGGTCAAAGTTCAGTTCACACATTTTAAAATGAACTAGTTCAGTTCATAGTTCCAAAAAATGAACTAGTTCATAGTTCTTTTTATTTTCATATATTGCTCAATTACACCATAGCCTACTGTAGAACAACAGACAGCAATTATTTTATCAGTTGTAACTCTGAAACTGTGCGTCAGATTTCATCTTCATATCCAGTTTTGAATCCTTATCCAACCAGGGTTTACATTAGCATTGAGGGGACAGCATTTCCCCATAGTTGCTTTAACGCTTTGTTGCTGTCCATTCACCTCACACTAGTAGCAGCTGCAGCTTTCACCCCTACAGTATATTCTCAAAAACATCAGGAAAAATGTGCTGCTTGAATGGTCTTTTTTATGAGTAATTATTAAAAGAAAAATAGGAAAGTAGTCTTTAAGGTGCAAATGTTTTTTTTTATTTTAATAATTTTTTCCATTTGAAAGTCCATTTCAATACATACTCTGTTTTCCAGACCAAGGACCCCCAAACTGATGGCGAGATGGAGCGGGGACCCCCTAACTATATATATTGTATGAAATTGTGTCCTATAGTCACTCTATTACAGATGGAGTAATGTAAAGAAATTTATTTCTCCCTGGGATTATTAAAGTTTTTCTGATTCTGATTCCTGGTTGATGGGACAGGTGTTGTGAAGGAAACGGTGCCCAGCTTGAAAGAGCTCCTGTGTGTCGCTGAATGTTTGCATTGATGACTGAAAGACATCTTCTGCCTCCATTTATCTGTTTACTACAGTGTGTTGATTTCATGTTAATGCGTATTTAAACATTTCAATTAGTGGGAAAACAAATTGCAGGGGGGGAATATAAAAATATCAACTAACCATGCAGACCCTCATGCAGTACCTCCGTGGACCCCCTAGGGGTCGCGGACCCCCTGTTGAAGACCTCCGCTCAAAAACATTTTACTAACACAAACCGAGGGACCAGGCTGAGGTAGGAATTTAAGGTTACTGAAGTGCAGATTTTTTTACTGAAAGCCGGCGGGCAAACTTGTTGCCATCGTCCTCACCGACCACCTGGTCATAAAACTGTTTTAAGTGATCATACTGCTGCTTTTTCGCCTCCATGCTGCTGTGGCTTCCACGCTGCATTTTGTTTTGATGACGCACGCGGCTGTAGGCTACGACACTGGTAGCTGGTGTTGCCAGATTGGGTGTTTTTCCCGCTACATATTAAGGCTTGTTTACGGTGTGATTTAGCCGGGGTTTCGCCTGGAGGGCCCTATAGAAATTTGGCAACCTATTGAACGGAGTTCAACTGAGAGAGCGTGCCGTTCACAGACACCAGAATGAACGAGTTCACAATAACGTTCATCAGGCAGTAATACAGTACGTTCAGTTCACGTTCGCCCAAAATATGAACGAGTTCATGAACTTTCGTTCAGGCACAACACTGTATATATATATATATATATATATATATACACTATATTGCCAAAAGTATTTGCTCACCTGCCTTGACTCACATATGAGCTTAAGTGACATCCCGTTCCTAATCCATAGGGTTCAATATGACGTCGGTCCACCCTTTGCAGCTAGAACAGCTTCAACTCTTCTGGGAAGGCTGTCCACAAGGTTTAGGAGTGTGTTTATGGGAATTTTTGACCATTCTTCCAGAAGCGCATTTGTGAGGTCGCACACTGATGTTGGACGAGAAGGCCTGGCTCTCAGTCTCCGCTCTAATTCATCCCAAAGGTGTTCTATCGGGTTGAGGTCAGGACTCTGTGCAGGCCAGTCAAGTTCATCCACACCAGACTCTGTCATCCATGTCTTTATGGACCTTGCTTTGTGCACTGGTGCACAGTCATGTTGGAAGAGGAAGGGGCCAGCTCCAAACTGTTCCCACAAAGTTGGGAGCATGGAATTGTCCAAAATGTCTTGGTATGCTGAAGCATTCAGAGTTCCTTTCACTGGAACTAAGGGGCCAAGCCCAGCTCCTGAAAAACAACCCCACACCATAATCCCCCCTCCACCAAACTTTACACTTGGCACAATGCAGTCAGACAAGTACCGTTCTCCTGGCAACCGCCAAACCCAGACCCGTCCATCAGATTGCCAGATGGAGAAGCGCGATTCGTCACTCCAGAGAACGCGTCTCCACTGCTCTAGAGTCCAGTGGCGGCGTGCTTTACACCACCGCATCCGACGCTTTGCATTGCACTTGGTGATGTATGGCTTGGATGCAGCTGCTCGACCATGGAAACCCATTCCATGAAGCTCTCTGCGCACTGTTCTTGAGCTAATCTGAAGGCCACATGAAGTTTGGAGGTCTGTAGTGATTGACTCTGCAGAAAGTTGGCGACCTCTTCGCACTATGCGCTTCAGCATCCGCTGACCCCGCTCCGTCAGTTTACGTGGCCTACCACTTCGTGGCTGAGTTGCTGTCGTTCCCAAACACTTCCATTTTCTTATAATACAGCTGACAGTTGACTGTGGAATATTTAGGAGCGAGGAAATTTCACGACTGGATTTGTTGCACAGGTGGCATCCTATCACAGTTCCACGCTGGAATTCACTGAGCTCCTGAGAGCGACCCATTCTTTCACAAATGTTTGTAAAAACAGTCTGCATGCCTAGGTGCTTGAATTTATACACCTGTGGCCATGGAAGTGATTGGAACACCTGATTCCAATAATTTGGATGGGTGAGCAAATACTTTTGGCAATATAGTGTATATATATATATATATATATATATATATTAGTGCTGTCAATCGATTAAATTTTTTAATCGCGATTAATCGCATCAATGCCTGAGTTAACTCGCGATTAATCGCATTTTAATCGCACATTTTTTTCCTGATTGAAAATCATTTAAATACTCTCGATGACATACAAAAAAATACATACAGGCTAGGTTTGTGCCAATGTTCTTTTTTTAAAATGAAAACAGGTCACAGATACTGATTTATGCCATAGAAACATATGGCAAGAAGATGGGGAGGCATGTAGCAAAAAATAACAAATATGTAGCCAAAAAAAAGGCCCTGAAAACAGGCTGACGTAAAAGACAGTCTTTACAGTTAATACAGTCTTTTGAACAAAGACAAGCATTTTACCCTACTGCTATAAAATGCAGTAGAGTTAACATTAGATGTTAATTAACCAAGGTAATAATGAACAATTTTCAATCAATACATCAAAATCAATAGACCGACATCACTAGATGAAGGTAATCTATGCTCTAGAAAGTTACTTTTCAGCCTCTTAACAAAAATGAGAACACACACACACCCACTCACCCACACACAGACACACCCACCCACACACACACACGATACCGACCTGTGGCGTACACAGACGGCAAGAGTGCTGCTACGAGATTCCATTTCACCTCAGTAATCTGTTTTCTCAGCGTATTTCAGGTTGCTACTAGTTACCAGACACTCAACTTGTTTGTTGGTGGTGGGGCTTAAAGAAAAGAGACTAGCGTCACCCAGTGTATGAGCGTCTTTTTTCCTTGAGGAGCTCTGCTCTCGAAGCCTATGAGAAATGCATACACTGGGGGAAAATAGCCCCGCCTTCTCGCAGGCTGCAGCGGGATGTACTTGGAAAATTGTACCATAAAACCACATAGCGTTAATCTCACGTTAAAAAAAATTATCGCCGTTAAAATGGCCTCGTGTTAACGCGTTAATAACGCGATACTTTTGACAGCACTAATATATATATATATATATATATATATATATATACAGTGTTGGGAAAGTTCTCTTTCTACGTGAACTAGTTCAAAGTTCAGTTCACACATTTTAAAATGAACTAGTTCAGTTCATAGTTCACAATTCCAAAAAATGAACTAGTTCATAGTTCTTTTTTTTTTTTTTTTCATATATTGCTCAATTACACCATAGCCTACTGTAGAACCACAGACAGCAATTATTTTATCAGTTGTAACTCTGAAACTGTGCGTCAGATTTCATCTTCATATCCAGTTTTGAATCCTTATCCAACCAGGGTTTACATTAGCATTGAGAGGACAGCATTTCCCCATTGTTGCTTTAATGCTTTGTTGCTGTCCATTCACTTCACACTAGTAGCAGCTGCAGCTTTCACCCCTACAGTATATTCTCAAAAACATCAGGAAAAATGTGCTGCTTGAATGGTCTTTTTTATGAGTAATTATTAAAAGAAAAATAGGAAAGTAGTCTTTAAGGTGCAAATGTTTTTTTTTTTTTTTTTTATAATTTTTTCCATTTGAAATTCCATTTCAATACATACTAAAAAGGAATCCTGGAAAATTATACCAGGCAGGTTTAACAAACAAGTTACATGGATAGTAAAACCCTCAAGAACAGGGGTCTTCTATGTTTTCCAGACCAAGGACCCCCAAACTGATGGCGAGATGGAGCGGGGACCCCCTAACTATATATATTGTATGAAATTGTGTCCTATAGTCACTCTATTACAGATGGAGTAATGTAAAGAAATAAATTTCTCCCTGGGATTATTAAAGTTTTTCTGATTCTGATTCCTGGTTGTTGTGAAGGAAACAGTGCCCAGCTTGAAAGAGCTCCTGTGTGTCGCTGAATGTGAGCATTGATGACTGAAAGACATCTTCTGCCTCCATTTATCTGTTTACTACAGTGTGTTGATTTCATGTTAATGAGTATTTAAAGACATTTCAATTAGTGGGGGGAAAAAATGCAGGGGGAATATAAAAATATCAACTAACCATGCAGACCCTCATGCAGTACCTCCATAGACCCCCTAGGGGTCGCGGATCCCCTGTTGAAGACCTCCGCTCAAGAAGATTTTACTAACACAAACTGAGGGACCAGGCTGAGGTAGGAATTAAGGTTACTGAAGTGCGGATTTTTTTACTGAAAGCCGGCGGGCAAACTTGTTGCCATCATCCTCACCGACCACCTGGTCATAAACCTGTTTTAAGTCGCCTCCATGCTGCTGTGGCTTCACGCTGCATTTTGTTTTGATGACGCACGCGGCTGTAGGCTACGACGCTGGTAGCTGGTGTTGCCAGATTGGGTGTTTTTCCCGCTACATATTAAGGCCAGTTTACGGTGTGATTTAGCCGGGGTTTCGCCTGGAGGACTCTATAGAAATCTGGCAACCTATTGAACGGAGTTGAACTGAGAGAGCGTGCCGTTCACAGACGCCAGAATGAACGAGTTCACAATAACGTTCATCAGGCAATAATGCAGTACGTTCAGTTCACGTTCGCCCAAAATATGAACGAGTTCATGAACTTTCGTTCAATGAACGCGTTCAGGCACAACACTGTATATATATATATATATATATAAACTGTTTTCTCACCCCTCGTGGGTAGAGCTCGGGTCCTCTACCAGAGGCCTGGGAGTTTGAAGGTTCTGCGCAGTATCTTAGCTGTTGCTAGGACCGCGCTCTTCTGGACAGAGACCTCTGATGTTTTACCTGGAATCTGCTGTAGCCACTCTCCCAGTTTGGGGGTCACAGCCCCCAGTGCTCCAATTACCACTGGCACCACTGCTGCTCTTACTTTCCACATCTTTTCTAGCTCCTCTTTCAGCCCTTGGTATTTCTCAAGCTTCTCGTGTTCTTTCTTCTTGATGTTGCAGTCACTTGGGATTATATATATATATATATATATATTAGGGGTGGAACGGTTCACAAAATCCACGGTTCGGTTCGATTCACGGTTTCTGGTCACGGTTTTCGGTTCGATTCGATACATGTTGATTGTTACACCGAAATTCCATAAAAAATTATGAAATTAATGAAAAAATCCCCCCCAAAAAAATCTTCCAACTCCTGTTCTTTCCCACTCGCCAGTCCGACACAATTCTCCGCAACAACTGATTTTTTCCCCTGCTACACTCGGCTAAGCTGCTTTGCTTCTTCTTCTTCTTGTTTACTACTGGCGGTTGGCTTTGGTCGCAGTACCGCCACCTTCTGCTCTGGAGTGTAAACGCTTCCTCTATGAGAAAGAGGAGCAGCGCATGAACCGAACGAAACACACGCGAACCGAACCGAGACAGTCGAACCGAACGATTCTGACGGTTTTTATAAATCGTCCCATCCCTAATATATATATATAAATATATATATATCAGTTCCAGGTTTCAAGGAGGCGTAGCGAGGGAGGCCGAGGGCTAGTGAGTGCCAAGACTACTGTCCAGGGTGAAACAACTAAGATCCAGGAATACATCAGAAAGACGGCTCCCAAAGACACATGGCCTAGCGCAGGGGTCTTCAACGTTTTCGAGGCCAAGGACCCCCAAACTGATTGCGAGATGGAGCGGGGACCCCCTAATTATATATATTGTATGAAATTGTGTTCTATCAAACTGGTCAATGAAATGGTGCCCAGGTTTGAAAGAGCTCCTGTGTGTCGCTAAATGTGTGCATTGACGACTGAAGGACATCTTCTGCTTCCATTTATATGTTTACTACAGTGCGTTGAATTCATGTTAATGTGTATTTAAAGACATTTTAATTAGTGCAAAAAGTTGCAGGAGGGAATATAAAAAAAAGTAATCAACCAAGACTTTCGCGACCCCCATGCAGTACCTCTGCGGACCCCCTAGGGGTCGCGGACCCCCTGTTGAAGAACTCTGGCCTAGCGAATACCTCAGGCAGGAGAAAACTGAAAGTGAGGATGAGAAAGATGAAGGAGAACCATGGAGGGACAAGCCGCTGCACGGCCTGTACCAAACACAAATAGAAGAAGTGGCTGATATCAAAAAATCCTACCAGTAGGTGGAAAACTTTGGACTGAAGGACAGCACAGAGGCACTAATCATGGCAGCACAAGAACAGGCACTCAATACAAGATCAATAGAGGCTGGGGTCTACAGTACCACACCAGACAGGACCCCCGATGCAGACTGTGCAAAGATGCCTCTGAAACAATACAGCACATAACAGCAGGGTGTAAAATGCAGGCAGGAAGTGCATACATGGAACGCCACAACCAGGTAGCTGTCATAGTGTACAGGAACATCTGCCATGAGTATGGGCTGGAAGTCCCAAGGTCAAAATGGAAGACAGCTCCTAAGGTAGTTGAGAATGACCGAGCTAAGATCCTATGGGACTTCAAGATCCAGACTGACAAACTAGTGATGGCTAACCAACCAGACATCGTGTTGATCGACAAACAGCAGAAGAAGGCAGTAGTGATAGATGTGGCAATCCCAAGTGACTGCAACATCAAGAAGAAAGAACACGAGAAGCTTGAGAAATACCAAGGGCTGAAAGAGTAGCTAGAAAAGATGTGGAAATTAGGAGCAGCAGTGGTGCCAGTGGTAATTGGAGCACTGGGGGCTGTGACCCCCAAACTGGGAGAGTGGCTACAGCAGATTCCAGGTAAAACATCAGAGGTCTCTGTCCAGAAGAGCGCAGTCCTAGGAACAGCTAAGATACTGCGCAGAACCCTCAAACTCCCAGGCCTCTGGTAGAGGACCCGAGCTTGAGGATGACACATACCACCCCACGAGGGGTGAGAAAACAGTTTATATATATATATATATATATATATATATATATATATATATATATATATATATATATATATATATATATATATATATATATATATATATATATATATATATATATATATATATATATATATATATGTATATACAAATACATATATATAGCTTCTCTCAGCCAGTCAGCTGTCCATATAGGCAGCAGGTTTCTATCCAGAAGAGTTCACTGCAATAATGAAACAAAATACCTTGTATTGCGAAACATTGTGGCAAATGTGCCCTTTGAAGATGCTTCTCTTGATTAGAAACAGGGGACCTGTCAAATATTGATGTCAAGATAGATAAACATAGGAAGTGGGTAGTAACAAGTTACATTTATTCAGATATATTCGCTATAGTAACATTTAAAAAAAAAAATCTAATTAGATGTAGTTTTATGGTACCATAACTCTTACTTTCACCTGAGTAAAATTCTTATGAGGTATTGCTACTCCTACCTGCAAGGCCATTGCAGTTAGGGTGTGAGACTCTGTAACAACTTGGAATGAGTGAGTCCCAGCAGTTAGATGCACAGTTGCTCATAAATAAAGCCGAAATATAGTCCATGATATCCAGGACCAACTGATTATGAAATACTGAACAGCTCCAGGGTTTCCGGTTGGGTCTCCTTATATACTGTATATATATATATATATATATATATATATATATATATATATATATATATATATATATATATATATATATATATATATATATATATATATATATATATATATATATATAATATGTCCCCATATGTTATGAAAACAAAGCTGTGTGAGCTTCTCTGCCTCTCCTATTTTAAAATGCTTTTTAAAACTTTTTTAATACTTCAATTCAGGTAATAAAGTAATCATACATTTGAAATAAAAATAAAATAATTCAGTTAGAATACTTGTTAACTGAATAAAGACACATTGTGACCCTGAAGCTATGAAATGCATAAATTCATACTGTACCACTTATAAAACAGGTGTGACTTTATGTATCTTTGTGAGAAAAAAGGCAAAATAAAACAATAAAATGAACATGTTTCACTTTGACAGCACAGCAGAGGGTTAATCCTCTTGAGCAGGGTGTTATATAACAACTAACTGCTGCTGCAGTTCTGTGACATATGATACGACACCAGAACCAATATATTAGAGATGTTTAATTTAATTATTTTGATCAAGTTCCTGCTGTTATCCTTTTAATGTCTCTGTCTAAATGTGAAGAAAATATTCTTCCTCTGCTCACTTAAATTTTAACTACTGTACTCATATCATGGAGCTCCACTTCTTCCTCGCACGCCTTGCCTTTGCTGTGCCACACACTCAGCTGACATTACACAACAGCGCATAGAGCAGAGCTGACATCAGGGGGAGGAGGAGGAGCTACTGCACAGCATTAAAAACCTTCCCACACAGCTATAAAGCTTTTATAATCAACCAGGTTGCAGATATAGAGGAGATAATCTGAATCAATCTATCCTGATGGCTCCAGTTAAGGAGGGGAATCCAGGTAAGCTTTCTGCATGCTTTTTTTAAATAAGAGAGAAAGCACCTACAGTGATATCAGGATGGTACTAGTAAACTGATCTTGGATTAGATCTTGGACACATCTAATTTTTGTAACTTTTGCTTTTGCATATGATGTAGATCAGTATAAGGTTTTCCTCTGTGGACTAGGACAGTGATGGGTACAATACAGGACATAATGTTCTCTCTGCAGCTAAACTCCAAGAGTGTCAGGTTCCATTTGTATACGCTCTTTTGTTTAAATGCATCCCTCCCTCAACAGAACTTTTAAATTAAATATACTGTAGATGCAGCAGGACATTCCCTTTTACTATGAACTGCTGTCCTACTGCAATGGTTTGCATAAAGCTGCCTCTCTATGGTCATTCAGGCAGCTGTAAACTGCACCTCTTATAACTGATGATTGGTAAACACGGAAGCAACAGCAGGTAACTCAAAACTTTATTTTTACAGAACATACCTACGTCATTGCAAAAGGGAGGCTTTAAGAGGAAGTGCATTGGTTAGAAAAAAATACAGAAAATAAAAATACAGAAAAACGCTGCCTGCAGCATATCTACTTTTTCCTTCTAACACTTTATTGTACATTTTCCTTGCTAACATGTTAATTAGACTTTTTACAGTTAAAGTGTTGCTCCTGCCAACCTATATTACAGTGTAGCCACCCAGTTTCATAATCATTTCAGGACGTCAGTCAGAATGAATGAATTATTTACCTTTCTATGCAATGAATTTCATTACTCTTATAAAGAAGCAAGGCGATTCTGCATTTTCCTCTGGATATGACTTATTTTTCCCCAGTAAAGTTACTTGCAACTACTGCATTAATCATCCTTCTTAGTAAGTCCTGCTACATTAAAATGCAATCGATTAGGTAACATACTGCTACAGAAAAATAATATTCTAGGTATGATTCAAAATGCAAAAATACTTGGTTCTCTGGGGGATTAAATAGCAAGTTTAATAGTGCTGAGTTTTAATACCTTGATTTATATACAAGTTTTAATGAGAAGAAAGGAAGGAATTTAAAGCTTCCAGAAAGCAACAAATAGCAGAAGAAGCAGAATGTGGCCTAGATCTTATATTACCTCTTTCTAAATGGGAGTCAGCCAGTTTTAATTTCCACCATAATTTCTCAAAGCAAAGCAGATGGGTTAAAAAAAAAAAATCAGCAAAATACACTCTAAATCTACCAAACATTATCTATCAATCAACCAAACAGTTGTTGCTACCATATTTTTTAAAACTGGTCCGACTTTGGTTCTGATTCAGCAGAACAAAAACCTCTAGCTTGGTAGGTTATTGTTTTTCTTGTGTTAGTTTGTTTCATAAAACTGGCATAAGTAAGGCTTAGCTTTCCAAGTCTGATTTATTTTATTATTCTTTAGGTTTTTATAAGCTGGATCGCTCTAAGTCTGACTCTGTTACTATGGTAATTATCCCAGTTCACTTTGCCTGATGGGGACCGGGTTTACAGCCAACTGGGTTCAAACTGTGTGTCTTCTTTCTTGAATCCAGCTCCAGGGGGCGCTGTAACTGACAGGAAGGGTATCAACTTCAACGTTTGGACTAAATGTTTGGTTTCTTTGAAACTTAAACAAATATTTACAGAATTACCAAATTTTTAAATCGCCTATTTGACTTTGTGATGAACATTCCCCTCTGCCAATAAAAGGCATCCTCACAGCGGCTCAGAGATGGCCTGTCTGTTTATAGAGGAAAGAGCTACCTTAAAGGAATAGTACACCCAAAACATGATTAGCCTTCATTTTCTACTCACCTCCATGCTGAACAACACTCTGGAGTACTTTTTTGATATCTCAAATGCATCTGGAGATCTGGGAGGCTTCTTGCTGTCTGCTGACATTCAAATAATGGAGGTCCATGGCGCCCGAGACAGAAAGGTCCATAAAAGTCCACAAAAACGTGTCAATATTCCTCCATACTGCTCGTCCAATGTAATCCAAGTGTCCTGAGTGGGTAGCATCCAGAATTTACTCGAAACGAAGTCATTTAGAATGTTTTTAGAGCATAAACAGTAGTGTATAGGATTTCCTAATAGCGCCCCCATGCGCGCTCACGATTCTACGGAAGCCGGCAGACCAAACCAGCGCATTCAGCTCGGCAAAGAACTCATGCTCTTCCTCAACACTGAAGTCCTCAGACATTTTTCTTTCGTTGTTTCTTTCTTTGCACAGGTAAACAGCACATTTCTTCTTCTACGCTTGCATTATCGGCAGACCAGACGCTGAATGCGCACTTTCTTCCGGTTTGGTCTGCCGGCTTCCGTAGAATCGTGAGCGCGCATGGGGGCGCTATTAGGAAATCCTATACACTACTGTTTATGCTCTAAAAACATTCTAAATGACTTCGTTTCGAGTAAATTCTGGATGCTACCCACTCAGGACACTTGGATTACATTGGACGAGCAGTATGGAGGAATATTGACACGTTTTTGTGGACTTTTATGGACCTTTCTGTCTCGGGCGCCATGGACCTCCATTATTTGAATGTCAGCAGACAGCAAGAAGCCTCCCAGATCTCCAGATGCATTTGAGATATCAAAAAAGTACTCCAGAGTGTTGTTCAGCATGGAGGTAAGTAGAAAATGAAGGCTAATCATGTTTTGGGTGTACTATTCCTTTAAGGAGTGCTTAGAATCAACCAACCTTTGTGTCTTTCCTGGGTCACATCTGCATGAATGTCACAGGTTTTCTAGAAAGGGTTACTTTATATGAATGCCTTAATTGGACCTCAGCACTCCAGCAGAACCATTCTCCTGACACTGCATGGGCCTGCACCTCCTCACCGGTATAGGGTAAAGTCGGGCATCGACAGTCTTCCCCAAGTCTATATGACATCACTCTTTTTTGTAGCTGCAGTTTAATTAATACAAATAGTTCAAATAACTGTTCATTCAGGCCTGAATCTGTTAATTAAAGCTTACTATTTTAAAGCTACAGTGTGTAATAATTACAGGCATATAAAGTCAGAAATTTAATATATTATACATAACTATGTTATTTATCATCACCTATGAGCTCAGCCTTTTAACCATAATATTTGCGTTGCCTTAGAATTCGTTATTTATAATTACATAGGAGCGGGTCTCGCAGCCATGGAGGCTGACATCTTTGCGCTACGGCAAGCGCAGAGGCAACAAACTAGCGATTGCGAGATCTCCCATGACGCTCGAAAATAACTACGGCAAGTTGAGAGAGATTAACTGAGACGGTACTGAACAGTAGATGGCAGTATTATGCCTGAGAATCGTTTAGTCTGCCTGAAACCAAAGAAGAAGAAGAAGCAGGTATACTGCGCCTCAGTAACAAGAAAGGTGAACAAGGCGGCAGGCGTGAGTGACTTTGCAAACTGTTTGGCACTGTGTGGCCAAACATCAGACGAATGGAGGATCATGCCTACTCTGTATCACAACGAAAAGCGGCGGACACCGAACCCCCGTCATCTAAGAAGCGGAAACACGACGAGAATAAACGCAAGCGTGACAAGAAACGGCAAAAAACACGGATCAACATTGGCACGGCATTTACACGATGGAAGTCACTGATGGAGGAAAAAGGTTTTCAAAGTGACGCTCAAGTTGCCAGTTTTCTCTTGGACAGGTAATTAATCCTACACACACAATTGTCTAATATCACTGCAGTTTTTGGAGTACAGGATGCTCAGACCTGTCTAAAACAATAACATGCTGCGTGATGATGCTGTTACTCTCCAGTATACTTATTCAGCAACGTCCCTGACGTTTCACAGGTAATGATTCAGTAATTTTCTGTAAAATAATTTTCTGGATATATACCTCGGTTACTTCTCTCCGGCTCCTTTGGAGATCTTCAAGCCTTTCCTCCTCTGCTCTCACCCCGCTGGCTCCCCTCTCTCGCCTGGCCCTAGCTGCACGGCCTCCCTGCCTTCGCCCTCGTCCTCTCCCTCTCCCTCGCGTTGTAACCCCCGTGCCACCAAAATGACTTGGACTCTGTAAACGGGGGATATATATTCTTCCAGCGAACACAATCTCGCTGTTAAACTAATGACTACAATTACTTCGTCTGTTTATATCACCATGCAAAGCAGCTCACCAAGACGTCACAACGATGTAGAAAAAATAACGGGTATATTTATTATCTTAAGTCTACATGAAATCTATACCCTACACAGACTAATGAAATACTATCTGTAAAATTATCTATGTAAACAAACCTCATCACTTGAGAGGGTAGGTGATGTGGACGTCGTAGAAGAAATTTTGTCCCGTAACGCTCGCCGTACTGTTGGGGGGGAGAAGCGGTGGGGGGGAGATGTTCATGTTGCTGCGGTCTGTAGTCTGACCGCTAGATGTCGCTGAAAATTACACACTGTAGCTTTAAATTAGGTTTTTGTACTTAGTCAGCCATAAGCAGTGCTTCTTTTGTGTTTTTCACTACAGTTAAATCTGTAAACAGTGTTAATTTCTTAGATTGCAATAATTCATTTTTTCTTCACTTCAAGTAAGATTTTTGCCAATAAACATCTCACGAAATATGAACTATAAGAAGTTAATGGGACTAAAAATATGAGTAAAATCTCCAAAGTGAAACTAGATTTGAATTGAAACGAAGTATTGAACTAAATTTTTTCCTAAAATCATTTCCATATTTACATCAAAAGACTAAACGTTGTCGGAATAAAAAATGGTTCAATGTCACAATTAACTTTGAAATATCTCTGGAAAAAATGTGTGTGTTGAAAAATGTGACAATTTAGGCATTAATCTCTTAGCAATTAAGTTCCTTCTCCCTAGTTTTATTGAGGGTAGCAGTGTTTCCCTTTACTTTTAAAGTAAATTTCTGTCCACCTGCTAGCCTTTAACCAATAAATAAGGTACACGTTCATGTTCCGCCAGGAATTCTTAATAACGTCTGTGATAGACCGCACACTATGCTGATGTGCGTGACAAAACTGATTAGTTGAACCTGTCTTGTATTGGTG